ATCACTTTTCCCAAAACTCTTAAAGTTATTGAATGGCTGGTTATATAACACCATCTTGAATACAGCATGATTAATCTGAGATCATATATATTTAATAGATTTAACTTGAGGTAGAGGTCAAATAGCAGGAATTATATTAAAATAGTACACAAGCATTTGTAGCCTGTGCATCATAATTGGTTTTCTTGGTCCATTTTATCTGTAAAACTCTTTATGGTAGGGGCAGATTCTTTAAATAAAATAGCAATATATAATATATAATTTAAAGCAGCTGAATTGGACACAGTCTCTTTGAAAGATACGTTTTTAAAAAATCTTGAAATAGTGTGTAGAAGAATTCTTTGAATTATTTTCATTGTCATAATTATATTTTAAAGTATTGCGTGTATACATAAGGATCTAAATCCTATGCTGATTCAGCATTGTATAAGAAGGGGTTAAAAAAAAGTTAAAGAAGAATAAGAGGAAATTAGGCTATGTACCATTAAGTCAGGAGTGCTGATAGTGCTGAATCACAGGAAAAGGGTCAACAGATGGTTAGAAAAGGTTAGGAAAGAAAAAACAAGTGAAATATTGTGCATGTATGCTGAACAGCTAGGTTCTCTGCTAAGAGCTCTCCCAGCCGTAGTGAATGAACCGAGATAGAAAATGTCATTGTGGAAAAATTTTCATTTAGGAAAAATTAATATTAAATTTTCCACCATTTTCCATACTGTACATCCAGAACAACTGCAATACAAATACAATTGCTATGATTTAGACAGAAAAAGAAGAGATTTTGTTTTTACTTTTATTAACGAGAAGAAAATATTTACAAGTATTTGTATTAAGAATTAAAAAAAACAATAAAAAAAAACAGGGCTACATCAAGTTTGTTAAGACGACAAAAGGAGTTTAGTGCCAGGAAGTGGGCCCTCTGTACTGTCCTTGACCCAGGCAAAACAGGATGCATCACAACTTCTAAAATGATCCATGAGCAACCAAGAAACACCTGCAAAAAGAAAAGATGATCATAAAATCATGTCAGTCATTCAGTTATCAATTCTGTGGACTTCCATGTGCCCAAACATTGGACAACATGAATTGTTATAAGACACTTTATAGGTAATAGGAAGTAATCAAGGGCTTCAATTTGACAAATCTGACTAAAAATAACAATTTTATCCTGCTTATAATTATGAATATATTGGATCTGTAACCTAAATATTCATGATATTATAATGAAGATATGTTAAGCAAGACCTTGCAAAATTTGCAGATCATCAATGACAGGAAATCAAAAACTGATAACAATACTTCACTGCCATATGAAAGCAAAGAACTTTAAAGGTATAGTTCACCCAAAAATGAAAATTGTGTGATTTTCTCACCCTCATGCCATTCCAAACCTGTATGACTTTTTTCCCTGTGGATCACAAAAGTAGTTGAGGTTGAGCAAATGATGACAGAATTTTCAGCTACTGGAGAGGAAATATCCCTTTGACAATAATCCCCCTAAAAACTGCTTAGCGTTTGATCAAACTTTACTCTACCCTTTTGTAATCCTAAAAAGATCTCACCTGAGTGCGCACAGGTATTAGGCTAGTAAGCATAGCGCGCCCGTTCGGCATATGGATCCCGCGGTACATCGTACGCAGAGCTCCTGGGAAGCGAAGAGACAGGAGAGAGGCGCGACCGTTCGTACGCGTATCCCTCCGCTTCTAGGGGAGCTCTCCGGATCGGGCTCCGTTCGCGGACATAGTATGAAGAGGTGGGAGCCGGAGGAGGGGGAAGGGGATGGCGCTCATATGGGTCATGGTTAGAGGAGGACAGGCGCTCTCTCACGATCGCTGAGGAGGATGGGGGAGGAGGGACCGTAGGTGGAACCGCGCGTCTATCTTCAAAATAACTTGCTCCGTACGGACGTGCCCGATATTTCTCGTAGAAGTCCACCACCCCGTACGGATCTCTTTCCTCATAGGGCGGTCCGCGTATTGGGTACGCAGGCATCGCACTGCCATAGGCCACGCCACTGCTCCCATACGCAGCCTCACTGCCATACGCGGGGGCCATGCTATTATCAGCGCCAATGCCGTAGCCCGCTGGCATACCGTAACTCATTGTACTCTCAAAACCCGCGCCCCTTCCATACCCTGGGACACCGTACCCTGCTCCCCTGGAGAAGCCATGTGAGGGTGCAAAGTTGCCACCGTAGGCCGGCTCGCCACTGTAGCCGCGATGAAACCCCCGGCCACCACGATCGCCACCCGCACCGAACCTGAGGGGCCCATATCCTGCCGAGCCTGGGCCCTCTCTGTAGGAGCCGTTCTGGTCCATTGGGCATTCTTTGGACCAGTGGCCTTCCTGCCCGCACCGATAACAACCCATTCTCTCTCCCATTCCCGGCGCGGTACGCAGGCGGCTAGTCGAAAGCTTCACGCTCATCAGTTTGCCTTAAGGAAAAGAAAGAATTTTCCATGATATTTCTATTTTAATTTTTAGCATGCACACGGATCAAACGTTCATAAGGTCAAAGCAGCCATAAACTTAGACTTCACGCTATGTTTCAACACAGTTATCGACAAAAACACGGCCAGAATTTTTTAAAGGAAAAATCGCCACTATTAGAGTTTAATGTCAACGTGAAACACTGTTTGCAACCCATTTTACTTCTTTAATCTGACGCATTACAAAGCGAAACAGAATTTAAAAAAAATTATGGCTGATAACTGACAAATGGCAGATATTATACATTCTACTAAATTTCTTAAAAACACTATTAAAACACTAAAAACTAAAATTCTTGTATGGTATGAATGTATATAGGGATCATAACATTATAATGTAAAGTTTGAAAGAAAGATGGATAAATATAATAAAAATGCGGTTTGAATAAGAAACATTAAGTCGACCGAATAATACAGAAGATCTCAAAGATTTACCAATAGACTTTAAAATAATTTGGTATTATAAAAGAGCATATGTGGTTTGTACAGCATATTTATATGTTGCATTTAAGTAACAAATATACTTATGAAATGTCTCACTTTCAGAAAAGAAATCACACGTTTTCCCTTGCTTTTTTAGGATGAAAATCATTTCAATTAGGAATTGATCAGCTCAGTGGAAACTGGAAACATTTGGCTTTTGAGTACCTGAGAAAAAATTTACTGTATTTTAGAACTAAATGGACATCCTCTATTGACCTCCATATAATAAACTAACAGTAGAAATCGAATTGAACAAATTTCCTCCACTTATCACTTACCAATTTTTCTACTTACCAAACTGTAATGAAGCTCACTTTTGGAACAAATGTGACAAGATAAAATTATTATTATTATTTTTAGTTAAACTGGGCAAAGGACCATACTGGCTCACCTTGAAAGGCTGTGTTGTCCAAGCCACTAATGGCCTCCATAGCATCTTCCACTCGCTCCATGTGAACAAATGCATAGTCTTTCACTATGTCACACTCAACCACAGGTCCATACTCCTCAAACCTGGCCCTGAGCTCTTGGTTGGTGCAGCTACTGCTGATGTTGCCAACGTGAAGTTTTGTAGAGGTCTTGGGCTTCCCTTTGCTCATCTCCACATTCATGGCTAAACCGTTCAGCATGTAATGGTGAAGATTTCGAATGGCTTCATCTGCCTCTGCTTTGTCATCCATGTGCACAAAGCCAAAGTTTTTCACAATGTCACACTCCGATATTTTGCCATACTGAGAGAAGAGGGAGCGGATCTCCTCTGCAGTAGTGTTTGGCGAAAGGTTCCCAACAAAGATTTTTACCATTTTAGTAATGTAAAGTCAACGTTCAGACCCTGTTGTGAGAAATAATAAATACATATGCTGGTAGTGTATGTTTAAAAAGGCAGGTAAGGTACAGAACAAAGGCAGACTTAAATAATACAGTACATATACAAAATATCCTCCTGCATATATTAGACAATAAAACATATGAAATACATATGAAGGAAAATGTGAGCATTCTTGTCGAATACAGAACAGTGATGTGTAATTTTTAAACAAATCTTTCTTTTGAATCGAACTTTTCAGCCGATTTCGAATCGAAATAATTAAACTGGTCAGAGTGGCTGACGAATCAACAATTCAATGACTCATCGAACAGATCGTATCTTTTGTACATGCCCGATTCTGAGCTGGAAATCTATGAGGATTTGAATTATGGGGCAAAGGGTAACAAGATAAGCGAATAAAATAAAATTGACTATGTCAAGTACAAAAAGTTGTTGCTATGAAAACGTGCAAAAACTTTATTTAAAGGTTTTACAGCATGTATAATTATGCCACATCGGAATATCAGCGAAACTGAATTGTTCGAAAGAATCGACTCGCGAAACGAGGCGGGCTTCCCATCATCAATAGAGGACAATGGACAATAAAAGCTACACTTTCTGTGCACTTATTTACGAGCTGCGTAACGTTACCAGCAAAACCTCTACATCTTAAGAATTGATACAACAAGATAAACTCTGTATCAATAACTAAAGAATCCAAAGCATGTATATTGCATGCATAATAATCAAGTTAGCTTACAGTCCATCTAGCTAACCGTGAATACGGGCAGAAACACTGTAGCAAACGAATGAAACATCGCAACAAAATACAGGAAATGCAAGAGATTAGCCGTTCAATCAAGAGAACACTGGGCTAATTTGATACAGCACAACGAATGTTTTTCATACCTTTTCACCATGCTTGCAGGAGCCGGTGCGAGATGAAATGGCGTCACTCTTGCGTTGCATAAAGCGAGGCTGGCTGGAGAATAGTTGCATGGTGTTAACACTGCCCATCCCCTTTTCTTTTCTCCACACTGAAAGCCTGCTGTAATAGCTTGCAACTGGAGCTTTCAGATTTCAAAGCATCACGTGGCCAGATAGATCGCGTAATGATTTGTTACATAATAAAGGATTAAAGTACCAACACAGAAGATCCATTTAATTGAAAGATAATCATGTATTCCTGTATAAACAGAGGATTCTACTATGAAAGACACCGGTATTTTTGTCACCAAAATATTGGTTTATTACAAAAGATAATTCATAAAACACACTCCTGACTTCTGTAGGAAATATACAAACTACAGAAAATCAAATTTATAAACTTTTTCATAGAGCTTCCCACGGCACCCATAAAGAAGAATCGCCAGTAAAAGCTAGCAGTCTCAAAAGGTGAATAAAGCCCCGAGTGAGAGTTGGTTAGCACATCTAATGCAAATTTCCAATTCACTCACATGTACAGTCCACCTTTCCATCTTCATATAACGTAATGATCTCCTGCCATAAACAGTAATTGGTGTGTACAGAACAGAAAACAGTTTGCATCCCACTGAAAGCTGCCCAACTATTTAGGTTGTATACGAAATCATATTTTTAAGAGGGGCAATCAAAACAAGCTCAAAATTCACTTCCAAGCTCCCAAATCACAAAAACTCACAGATATTGGTAGGAGAAACAAGTTGACCATCCTGTTGAACGTACCAATGAGATATAACACAATTCAGCAAGCAAGTACAATTCAAATCTGAACAGTCTGTATATACCAATCACCTGTAGCAAATAATAAAAAATGTTGGAATGTTGAATTTGAGTTTTTATTCCCCAAAAAGCTTTTTGCAGCCGCAGGATTAATTACAGATTGCCACTCCCCCTATAAATACACAATGCTGGCATTATTATTGCCAGAAGAAACATAACCAGATTGTCGTCACCAAACATAAATCAAAGAAATTTAAGTGGCAAACCAACCTGACAGCTGAAGAAAAGTCTTGGAGCATTAAAAAGGGTAAATAATAGTGGATCACAACAACTTGACTGGGGGAAAGTAGAGACGAAAGTAAAATTCTAAATCTCACAGAGCATCTGTATAATTGTAGTTAATAGCGGAGTTAAAATTATGCTGACATTAGACACCCCACCTTACCTCTGGAAAAGCAAAGCAAAAACCAAAATCACAACCACTTCTTGCAATCATATAGGCTACAGATCCTTTGGAAAGGGAAATTAAACAGCAGTTTGTGCATTATGGGTAAAACATTAATGAGCAGAGCTAATAAGCATTGTGATCAATCAAATCCTGCATCTTTGAAATCCAATGGAGCATCTGATTGAGGCAAAGTCTTATAGGTGGAAGGGAAGTCTCTTCACTTGACAACACCTAAAAAAAAGGAACAAATATTCTGTGAGATGAAAAACTTGACACACATTATTTTCTGACTTTTGTACTTTTTAACCCGAGCAAAGCGGCTTCGCTTACTACTGTACTCGAAATGGCTTACGCTTAGAACAGATCACGCTGACATCTCATCTGAGTGATCCAAGTTAACGACCCGCTATCGCTCACCTTAGCATGTGTGTGGCTTAGTATGCATATCGAACCCGCTCGGTGTAGCTCTCTCTGGGCCGCAGCACGGCGTAAGTCGATGAGCTCCTTGATACCGGAGAAAGTCGCGAGCGCTTGTACAAGTAGCCTTCCGAACCGGCGCCCACACGTCTGATTGGGCTACGGTCCCGCGAGAAGTACGCCGATGCCGTGGGAGGCGGAGGCGCCAGAGGGCGTCGCTCATAGGGATCGAGGCTGGGAGGAGCCAACCGCATCCTTGAGAGAGAGGAAGAAGAGGGAGGGGGAGGAGGAGGGGGAATAGAGAGAGGCCTACTCTCCTCGAAGAAGCTAGAGCCAGCCGGACGAGCCCGATACTTCTCGTAATAGTCAATGCTTCTGTAGCGTTCTCGCTCATATGCGGACGGCCTCTCGGGGTAGGCGCTCGGCGGCCTGCTGGGGTACCGTTCTCGAGCATCCGCGACGTACTCGCCGTAGCTGGGACGCCGGCTCATAGGTGGGGGAGGGGGAAGCGGCCCTGCTGGGTAACCTCTACTAGGAAGACCTCCAGGGCCGCCCATGCCGTAACTCGGAGTGCTCCTTGGGGGGCCTCTACCACCGGGAAATCCCCCCATGCCTCCGCCATAGCTACCGTTTTGGCCACGTCTGCAATCTTTGGACCAGTGGCCCGGTTCTCCGCAGATGTAACAGCCAGTTTGGTCTCCCATGCCGGGCGCTGTACGGAGGCGACTTGTGGACAGTTGTACTTTGATCAGCTTGCCTTGTGAGAGGAAGAGAACACACGCAAGACAATGTAAAACTTTCTTCCGCTCACGTAAACCGTCAATTTAAAAGAGAATTATTGCATCACGATAGCCACAGAGCACTTAAAGGGTTAGGTGGCCCAAAAATTTAAATTCCGTCTTTGTTTACTTGCCGTCATGTCGCTTAAAACCCATAAAACTTTGGTTCATCTTTGAAACACAATTAGGATATTTTTAATGAAACCGAGATTTTTGTTCCTCCACTGAAAGCCTGTTAACCATATTAAATGTGCTCGATGTATGTGCGCTTACAATGTTTTTATCAACTTTTGGTTACATGGACTGTCAATGGAGGAACAGAAATCTCTTAGATTTTTATTAATTTAATTTGCGTTTTGAAGATAAACAAAAGTCTTGTGAGTTTTGGAATGACACGAGGGTGAACAAATGACAGATTTTTCATTTTTGGATGAACTATCCCTTTAATATTAGTGTATCTGATGTCTACTGCCAATTACCTAGAAAATGGATTCTCTTCAGCAATTACAAAGAACTGAAAAAGGAGTAGTACATTCTTCCCATGCTAAAAAATTTAAGGAGTAAAATTCAACTGGATAACCATGGATTTCGTCGTTTCGGATTAAGGTTCACCTTGGAAGGTCGTGTTATCCAGCCCACTGATGGCCTCCATGGCATCCTCCATTCGCTCCATGTGAACAAAGGCATAGTCCTTCACTATGTCACACTCTACCACAGGGCCATACTCTTCTAATTTAGCCCGGAGCTCCTGATTGGTGCAGCCACTGCAGATGTTGCTCACATGCAGTTTGGTGGAGCCCCTGGGCTTCCCTTTGCTCATCTCCACATTTAAGGCTTGACCTTTCAGCTCATGATGGTGGAGTTTGCGAATAGCCTCTTCGGCCTCCTGCTTACCTTCCATGTGCACAAAGCCATAATTTTTCAGGGCGTCACACTCTTTTACTTTGCCATATTCAGAAAAAAGAGAGCGCAGATCTTCCGCGGTCGTGCTTGAGGATAGGTTGCCAACAAAGATCTTAACCATCTTTATTGCCGTTTTTTCCTGGACAGAGGGAGCATAGTTGCGAAATGCACGTTATATCAACAGATGATTGATTCCTACATTACTGCTGTGTTGGCTTACAAAACCATAGACATCTTAATCCTATCAGAGGTTTTAGTTTCGATTTTGTGGCTTCTGGCCAGAATGATTTACGCACAACTCAGCATTAAATATGCTGTGTGTGACACTCACGGATCGGATGAAAGTGCGTTGAGTGCGTAAAGTAGATGACCAGGTTCAGTTCTTGGACTTTATGGCGCAGATGAATTATCTCGCGTTGCTAGGCCACGTATCCGCGTGACCACCACACCCAACGTATTAATTCCCTTAAGTTTTATTGGTCATCATTCAAGTGTGTTTTAATGCCCGATACACGATTAAGTACGACCGATGAGCGTCGGTGGAGTTTTCAGAGCTGTAGGCCAATTCAACTGTATGTTTTTAATGCCCGATACACGATTAAGTACGACCGATGAGCGTCGGTGAGGTTTTAAGAGTTGTAGGCCAATGGTGTCGACTGTGCAACGCTAAGTTAGCACGACTAACGTTACATAAAGTTACCCGAAGACGTGGCCTTATTAAGAAACATGCTGTTACATTACAATACTACGCCAGACTGCATTATCTGAATGTGATATCTAAACACTAGCACTCATGTAAAGTAATTAATAGTTGATTATGTCAGAACAGCATTGCCTTACCGTAGCGAGCACGTAATCTCACTGGCTGCCAAGATGAATGAAGCCTAAAATGGAGTCGCCCGCCGTCACCGACAGCACTTCCGGTCCATGAGTAAACAAAAAACCCAACACGCGTTCAGAGCAGTGTGTCTGAATTCATACACAGCTTTTACTATTTATTCAGTGTTTAAAATATTACTATATTTCAAATTAGATCAAAGAAACGCCCAATCTGAAGCACAGATGTTACTAAAAACTGTAATGAATATACAAATTATATACTGTAATGAATTATACAAGTAAACAAACATGTTCAATTAGTTTTAATCTTTTTTCTTAAAATTATCTATCGATATTATATTGTTGAATTTTATACTTTACTTAGACCAAATGGGGTAACTCCAAACCTAATTCTGCTCATTTTCAAACAGCCGTTGAAGATCACTTAAAATCGGTTTTAAAAATAAAACAGCCCTAAAAGCTGTATCTGTTAAAATAATTTATCTTATGTCTGTGATGCCCTTTAATTTTAATATCCTCCTTTGTTTTTTCAGTTTAATTTATTGGTTTGTTTGCTTTCGCAAAATGGAAGAAAAAAAACCCTGAAATATCTGAAGAACTTGCTGAATTTTGTATTTTTGAAAGTTCAATAAAAAAAAAAAAATTAAGTTATGCAAGGCCAGGAATTACTGATACAGTAGGTTTACACAGCTGTTAAAATAGCCTGGTTGCGTTAAATTTAAAGTCACCATTTCAAATACTTTGCCAAATGTGTTAAAACATTTGAGTTTAACCCTCTACTATAAAGATTGAGCGATTCAATGTTTAACAAACTAATGTACTTAATATATACACACACACACACTTGGCAGTTTAACCCCGAGTGACTATATGTTCATGTTAAAACTTATTTTACATACAATATATACCTTAATACACAACTGCCATATTCTTAAAAATAACAGCAAAGACATAGTTTGGGCAGGGAAAAAAAGCTTTATTGAAAGTGCAATCACCTTAAAAGGAAAAATAAAATAAAAGTTTTTATGCTGAGATCATTGCCGGAAGAGGCACATTCATTTGGTGTCCCACAGGTAAATGAATGAACAGCCATAACACATTTTATTGTAAAATCAAGACAGAACTATGGGGGGGGCATAAAAGTTAACCTAAAATATAAAACTTACCCTCAGGCATGAGTTCATCCTAAAATATATCACTTACAAAACATTTGGATCCAAAGACACATATGCAGTCTCTGTACTTAAGCTATACCTTGAAACAATTAAGTATATAAAAAGGCATGCCGAGTTGTAAAGAAACTAAATCAAGTGACTTACCTGCCACAATCAATCAAACTTAAAAAGGACCACTGATTAAGGAAATATTGGGAAGTCTACCCACTTTGTGAATCAGAATGACAGGATTATTTGGACACAGACCAGGAATAGTGAGACGCCAATGGTTTAGGGCAAAAGAATAGCCTTGAAGACGAAGTGATGTAATCGTTTTCATTTCGCCGCAGAAGCGGTTCCATTCTCCGTAATACTTCTAAACTAGGAAGCAAGATGTTATGGGTTTTAATTCGAATGTGTCAATCTCTAGGCTATATAGTTACTTTCATGCCTATTTAGGCAAATTGAGTTTAAAAGGTTGGCAAGAAAAGCAAAACGACGGACCAAGTTCCAGTCTTTTTATTAAAACTTTCAAGTGTTCCTATGAAAGAAAATGATACAAAGTCCTTTAACTTCGATACTCTGCAATTAAAATGCACACTACAGCACAATTTCAATAAAGCCAGTAGACGGAAAGGTTTTATTGCTGCGGAGACTGTATTCTTACTTGTATGCCGCACTTTAACAAATAGCTTAGAGAGGGGAAAAAAAGAGATAGAGAGAGGAAAAAAAATTGCTTTACACAAATGAATTTGTTTCTAAATTAAAATTTTCATAGCGCTGGTTACAGTAGTTTAATAAACTATAACCTCATTCCAGATTTTAAAGGTAAAAAGGTACAGTGTGATACATTGAAGTGTTCTTTGAAAGAAGAATTTTTATAAGCGTTCATTTAATAGTCTTTACCAAACCACCAAGTTAACCTAATTTACGTACTCTGGCTTAGTACTTCTCTCACCTATCCAATGTTAAACAATAAAAACAAGGCAAAAAAATAAAGCAGAATTGACAATTTAGCATGAGGACGTTTTTATGCGTGTAAAAGCGGTAGTTTTATAGAATGTGCAGTCCGCAACAGAACTCTTCCACTATGGTGCGCAGGCGAACGAAACGCGCTCTGGCAGACAAAGACGTATCGCGGCACGTGCACCTGGAGACAACGACGACGATCTTGTTGAATAATTTACACCTGGAAAGAAAGCAAACCACATGAGTCAAACGGCTGCAGTGCCATCTGGGATTACTGAATCGACAAGTTAAGTTAAAATAAAGATTTGTATGAAGTCTATTTGATTAATATGAAGTGAGAGCTTAATATACCATACGGTTACTAGAATTGACCATCTAAACACTTCGATACGAAGTTTAGCGTTCTTCGAGCAGTGCTTTTAAAAAGACCATAAGGCCATTAAAAAATGTATGATCCAGGCACTTTGATACAAAGTTTACGTTACTGCTACTTGCGCATCAATTACACGACACGCAGAACAGGTCAAGAACGTGAATTCTTGGTTCTATATTAAGAGGGCATTTCAGAGCTCATTTTTGGGTTGAGGGACCTATTCTCACCTTGGATTACAAAAGCGCAGTGGTGCACTTTAATACGAGTAGCGCGCAGGTGGTGGAGGCGGCGCCGCCCTGTCAGCATAGGGGTCTCTGGCCCGAGGCATGCTGTACATCGGGGTCCGAGACATGGAGAGAGGGGAGAGACGAGATCGCTCGAATGAGTAACCATTCCCGGCGGGTGTCTGAGGCGTAGGAGGAGCACGTCTGATGGGACTGCGGTCTCGTGCGTAGTACGAGGATGGCGGGGGTGGAAGGGGGCGTCGCTCATAGGGGTCGAGGCCATTGCCAGCCAATCTCTCTCTCATAATGGCAGATGACGGGGGCGGTGGGGGAGGGGGGATGGCACCCAGGTGCCGGTCCTCATATGAGGAGACACCGTAAGGGCGAGCGCGGTACTTCTCGTAATAGTCGACCACACCGCGTTCACGCTCGTATGCCGGCGCTGCACGCTCATATGCCGGCGCTGCACGCTCTGGGTATGGGGGGCGTCTGGGAGGCATGGGTGGTGGTGGTGGAGGGGGACCAGGGGGATACCCGAAGCGACCCCTAGGATAACCAGGGGGCTCAGGCCGGTCACCAGAGAAACGGGGTGGCCAAAATCCACTGTCTGGGGGCCCGTAGTCTTCCTCCTCGCCTCTTGGTCGACTCTTTGATATCTGCACATGAATTCGTTTGCCTGCAAATGCAAAAACATTTCATATTAGCAAATGTGATAAACATGCAAAAGGATATGAAAGTAAGACTGCATTTTTTACCTTGGAATTCAGAGTTGTCCAACCCCTTGATGGCATCCATGGCCTCATCGGAATTGCTCATGTGTACAAAAGCAAAGTTCTTGATGATGGCGCATTCGGCAACTGTGCCGTACTCTTCAAACAGCGCTCTGAGCTCTTCATCTGCTCCTTTCTCCACATTGGCAACATGAAGCTTCACGGGGCCCTGGTTTTTGCCCCGACTCGCTTCAACATTGATGGGTGTTCCATGCAGCTTGTATAAATGAAGGTTTTTAATTGCCTTTGTTGCACTTTTGCGATCATCCATGTGGACGAAGGCAAAGTTCTTGATAATGGCGCACTCAGTGACTGTTCCATATTGAGTGAACAGAGACTTTATTTCATCTGCTTCTGCCTGCGGCGGCAGGTTCCCAATGAAGATCTTCACCATCTTCGCTAATGTGTTACGCAGAGCCTGAAACGCACTGTGACAAGATACACTTACAATGAGTTGCCAGCAAAGCAAATTACTATGGTTATTGTAATGGGCTACGGCTTTTTGCAAATCAACATAACGTTAGAAGAATGACAACGAAACCACGCCTGGTGCGAAACTGAAATTGAAACCTTTCACAGTGGACTTCCTGAGAAGCCAATCAAGTCAAACCAGTTTATGCAAATACTTTAAAATTTTACTTCACCCTACATACACGCAAACACGACTAAATAAAACGTTGTTACGTTAAGCAGAACTTAAATGAAGTTTCGTACCAAGCAAGAATTCTCCTCGCACGTTTATATGCGCCATGGCCTCGTGTGATATCTTAATAGTAGCGGACTATGAAACCTCGACAAACATTACGTTTATTTACGGCATATTCTTTAAAGTATTTATGCTCGTAAATCACGAGAACATAAATACAGCAAGTAATCGTCGATTCAAGTGCCCAGCGCCTTGAGGGAAAACTCAGTTTCTGGTGCTAGGTTTGAATAAGCTAACAACGTTAGCTTAGTACGTTAGCCGAACAGCCGTTGCGCGCCGAGATAAACAAGATGTATGTACGAATTTTACATACAGCCGATTAACAGAGTTTTTACATACCATATAAAAGCTGCTTATATCATAAATGCTTTAATTACGCGTGTTAAACCTTAATTTTAATACTGATGTAATAAAGGTCAAAGTACTAAGACACAATACTCACCCCTTGGTTCTCACCACAATGAGGAAGAGAAGATGCGTCATTCAGTAATATACTTCCTATAAGTCCCGCCCACCAGGCTGAATAAACCAATCAAATTTAAGAATGTGGATCACGCGGAACGTGGCCAGTTAGAATTGTGGAAAGTTAAAAAGAAACGGTTCTGAATGGATGATAAATCCATTAGTGACTTTTTGTGCACTCGTGTGAGAGTAGAGGGGAATGAGGAAGCCGACAGCTTTTCTGGCAGGAATTGGGTTGAAGAAAATATTTTATCAGCCAAGCAATGCACTTTTAAACGAATGTTTATGTTATCATTCATTGCAAAAATCAAAAAGCAGAAAGACAAAAGTTAGTGTAGAAGCCGAGAGTCTGGGAATTCGAATAAAAATATAAATAATAACACAAGAAAATCTCAGAATTCTTTTACCACCACAAGAAACTTTATTCTGCCAGAAATGAGGTCTCCCACAGTCTCCTAAACATCATTTTATCTCACATGCTATTCCACTCAGACAAGTCTTGCTTCTGTAACTGGTTAGTGTTTACAACAAAAACAAAGTCTGCATGTCACTTGGGCAGTTAAATAAATCACTATTGCTACAGTGGTAAATAGAATTTAATTAGACAGAAATAAAGATTTTGTATGGTTTTAATCCGGGTCTCTATGCTACCAGTAGGTTGTGGTAATGCACTAGATTAGATTGAGATCCGCCCTTGAGCAAAAAAGATGAAGAGTGCGCAATTGTTAACCGTCTAGATTTGATATCCGTGTTCACTTAAGTTTTTAAACTTTGTTTCATAAGAATGTATCATTACTTTTATAGTTTTAATGTTTTAGATAAAGCAAGCTGTTCCAGACCACACTGAAAGCTGAGTCAAAGATAAATGAAATATAAGCATTCTTATTTCTTACGTGTTTTAGCCTACGTGTTGCGTGTTTATAGATTATGTTAAAAGAATGTTATTTTGCTATGATGACGAAATTGACATGCAATTGACACATTCAGCTGCCTAAAAACCGCCAACATTTCTCATCAACTTCCCTTCCCTGTGGTTTTACAATTTTGTTAGGACGTTCTGGGGAGTGACTGATAAGACATCGTAAATGATGACCATAAACGTGTTCACAGTCATGTTTAAACACCTCTTTTATCTGGTCTTTAAAACGATGTCATGTCACAAGATAAAGCCTGGCGAGTGCTTTAAGTTTTAACATTAGGCTACGCAACCTAGGGTTTTTCTTTTTTATCAAAACGAGAATAAAGCGTGTCTGGTATCTCCAGGTCAAATAATAATGTAGAAATATAATATGAAACAGATAGCGAAAGCATGGAAGTCAGTTGCGCAACTCTGGAGTTTTTGAGAGTCACAAGTCCCAAGCTGAAAGGGGGGTGGATGTTTCTGATGCAATTCCCTCTTTGTTTGTAGAGCTCATAGCATAGCGATCTCCGCTTCAGAACAGCAGTCCGTTAACTGATGATCGTTGCAAACAGCTTCTGAAGGTGAGCTACTGTCTAGTTTTGTTAAACTGTACGGCACTTATTTAGTCCGTGTATATATACTTTAGCGTAAAGTTTTTCGCTAGATCTATTCACAGATCTAACTCACTTTAATTCAGGATAATACGTTTTGCTGCAACATACATCTGTACAATGTAGCCTACTAACACATAACGAGTTGTTTCTTGTCGTTTTTCATTAGGTTTAACTGTCAACAAGTCAATTCAACCTCACAGAAGTTGCGTCCATTTGTTTCCCAGAATGAATGACTATAGCAAACTGGAGACTGAAGAACTGCTCGCCTGTCTTCATATCCATCTCTTCCACCCTAACCAAACCATTTGTCCACTCTTCCACAACCTACCCCTAAATCAGCCATACAAAATGCACGCTGAAGATCAAGTAAGGCTTGGCCGTGATGGACAGACCTGCGTCTTTGTCCTAAATGACACCTCTGTCTCCAGAAAACAGCTCTCCATACAGGCGTATAGGAAAGCTGGCAGCCCGTTCTTGAGCTTCATGATCCAGAACATGAGCCAGAAGGTCAAACTCATGGTCGGTGGGTCTGAACTGAGATACCTCGAAAGAGCTGAGCTTGATGACAAGGTGCTCTGCCGCTTTGGGAGATACGAACTGCTGATTTGGCAGGAACCAGGAGATTCAGAGAATAAATTTGAGGTCCTGTTTGAAATATGCAATACACCCCCTTCACAGGAATTGGGCATAGATGTGCCATGCAAACCACCTGTTATGGATACCGGCGTGCCATGGAGAAGCTTTGAGAATGGAGCACCTGCAAGCCAAGAGCCACTGGAGTCAGATGAGACAGTTGTTTTAGTATAAATATTTTTGGAACATTGCTCTTCAAGGCAGCAGACATTGACCATTCAGAATATGCATATTGTTATTTTCATTGATACTGTGTTATTAAAACAGTCTGTTATGCGTAAGTAACCGAATGAGATCTAAAACTACACTGTAAGTGACATTACAAACTTTGTTATGATTTCTTCTGGAATGCCACTGAACCAGTTTTGTTGCCTGCTGTGCTGTGTCTTTGTGTTCGTCCTCTTGTACATATATATTTTATTATGTATTTTGCTGAATTATTGGAACTATTGTCACACATTTGCTCAAAAGGTCCTTTTGTGTTTTCTTTTCATTATTATTCTGCATTGCATAAGTGCTTTTGGCCAGTGTTTTTATATATATAATATTTTTATTGCATCGTTTGGTATTGACTGTTACTTGATAAAATGTGAATCATAAGCTTTTGAAAAAATGTGAAATTACCATGATTGAAGGGTTATTCATATACTACTTTCATGATATCTTATATAATGAAATAAAGTTTTTTTTTTTGATTGCTTTTCAATATAGGTAAAAAATTATTTTAAAATGTTTGTTTTCAGGGTTTAAGCTGTACAAAAAAAAAATCTAAATTCACGGTCAATTTAATACAACATAATATTTTCCATATACTATTTTAATAATGAATAATTTGCTTCAGTACAATGACTATATAGAAGCTAATTATTTAATTTAAGAAACAATGTGCTGTCTTTCTGTGTTGGACTGGCCATCTGTCCTGGGTGTTTTCCCCGCTTGCAACCCGAGAATCTGGGTCAGACTGCATCAATGGATGTGTTCACACTTACTGTAATATTTTTCACACACAGCATAAACAGCATAAATGAGTTTTTATATATGCAAATATATAGGCCTAGCACCCTTTATATTTTAGAAAAGGGGTCCCACAAAAGGGGATCCCCAAAAAATGAGATGCTTGTCATCAAAAACTTTGAAAACCCCTGTTTAAGAAGCATTAATGAGTTGTTTTTTTCCTGTAAACAAAAGTTCCTTATAGTGTTTGTGTCATTTAAAATACATACAGGTCTGAAAAGCAGATATTTGTTTGCAATTTCAACTACTATTTCAAATATTTTTTTGCATGCTGCTGGAAGATCATGGTTAGTTACTGATCTCCAGAAAGCAGTTGTAAATGTTTCAGTTGGCAAACAGGGAATTACATTTTAAGCAAGACTATTATTATAATGGACTTTTATTTCTTTGGTAAGGTTAAGAATCTTAAGAAAGGTTAATCCCAGGTGACTCAGGAACTGAAAATCACTGGAAGATCACCATCCTTTTGTACTTTCAACTCACCACCTGTCCTTATTCTTACAAACGGCTGATAAGCATCTGCTACATGGCAGAGATATCAGATGGTTTACAGTAAATGATGTCAGTGACGAACAGACAAGATCGAAACTCTGATGTAACTCAACAGGAGTGGCAGTATTCATTTTTTGGTATATATCTTCATGTAAAAATTATATGAATTATATTATTAATAGCCAGAGCTTGTTAAGCAAAAGTTACTCCCTCATTAGACTGCATGTAATTTTATGACACTGTATTTCAATAGTGATTATGTTAATGGGTTTACAATGTAAAAATCATTTTAAAAGTATAAATATTGTACTGTACATATGTTATTGTAATGTTCAGCACTGAGACTGACTGATTTCTCAGAACAACATTGATTGACACAGATGTCTCAGCATCGTCACGCTCAGATTGTTGTTTGCGTAGTTGCTTGTACTGGTTGCATTTGCTGCTTTTGATGAACTCTAGTTACTAGGTTTGGTGAGCGCTTGTGTAGATTTTCCAACAGACACACGTAGAACAACAGGTCACCATGAGTCAAACATTTCAAGGAACAAATACTAAAGAAATAAAATGTGATGAGATGTGGAACTATGTGGAATTGACAGGAAGTCAGAGCTATCTGAAAGAACACACAATTCTTCAGTCACCAGTCAACAGCGATGCGAGAAGATTATTAGACATTCTCAGTCTTAAACTGCTGAGAAAAGTTTAAAACAACAGACCAGTGAACTCATAAATGAAATGCAGTAGATCTCATTTTTAAGATGGTTACATGTTAAAATACACTAAATGTATTCAATAAACTATTGACCTTTGAAAATGAAGAAACTTTAATGTAGTAAACCATGTTAACATATAGGATGCAAAAATGGACTGGATGCAAAATCTGGAGCACAAAGCAAAGGTGAGGCTCTTGCTCTTCAAAATCAGCCAACTGAACAAATGTAAGATGTTTGCAGACATAACAAGCTTTTTTTGATATTCCCAGTAGGAAAAAAAAAAAAGAAAGCAGTAGAATATACCAAAAAACAAAAATTGCCAGACACACTCAAATACAATGCAGAAACAGAAAACTGTTCTTTGTGGACTAGAACGTTTAGTTCTAGAACATTTGAATAGCTTTGGTTGCAACACTGATTTTAAAGACTTATAGCTATTCTACAATTCTTTCCGCTGGAAAGGTTTATTGGATTTATGAGGCTGCCGTGGTTTTGGTTTCTTGTAGTTTCTGGCATTTTTCACGTTTAAGCTCTACTTCAGCTCTCTTGCCATTTGACATTATAGGCATGCATAGTTCAGTAGGTCACCAAACAGCAGTCAGAGAGTAGGAGAGAAGGGTGCCATAATGGAGGGAAGGTTAGGACAATTCCAAGGGCCCTGATCAGAGAGGGTTACGAGCTGAAAACTATTGAGTTTGTAAGTGTAAAACTGAAAGGAGGGAAACTGGACATTGAAAAGATTACAAAATTACCATAACATTACCACAACTAGGCTACCTTTTTACAATAGCATTACCATAACATTAGGACCACAAACAGGTATGCAAATACTAAACTGCTCTCTTTCTCTTACACACACACAAGTTTTTCTTATCATCATATATGTTTATTCTCTTTAGACACACCTCTGCAGTGAAACCATAGGCTACTGTAACCATAAACAGAAATGTTCAAAAGAACTTCTTAACATTAGGCTTCTTTCTTTTCTCTACTTTTCCAGTTACATGTTATAGCTTTTGTGCATGTGCTCTCTTAAAATTCCGGCATACATGAAGAAATGCATTAAATACATTTTGCAAGCAAAAAAAGTTATATTAAATCATGTTCAAATGTGTTTCATCTTAAAGGCACAATATGTAAGATTTTTTTTATTAAAATATCCAAAAACCACTAGAACAGTGTTATATATCTTGCTGACTTGTGTACTTACGTTATCCCAAATGTTTCGAAGAATGTTTAAATCCAGAGAAATAAGCAATTTTAACTAGTGACACAGACCGTGTTTATAGTGTCATTGTGTCGCCAGCCAATGACGTCATAACCCCTCGATTTCACCAAAGACGCTTTAATATGTTGTGCGTTTTAATAGACCGATGACGACTTTCAAATGTAGTATGATAAAACAGCACTGCTTTTTTTCCCACATACGCACGACCGGAAGGAGCGGAAGCGGTCGACTGTGGCA